AAACAAAGCGTTTACGGACATGTCTCCAGAGGAAAGTTTTTTCTTGTTTTGAGGTCCTAAGTTCATATTTTAAGTTAGGACACTTTACCCTGAAACACCCGTATAAAAATTAAAACTATCAGCAATTGCTGACCTCAATCATTTATAAAGTGATAGTTTTAATTTTTCTTCGTTTTTTTATATAAAGATGACTGTTCTTGGTTTTGTCTTTACGCGTACTTTAATCATGTGGAAGAATTTTGCAATTATATAAAGCCAATTTCAAATTTAGTTACAACTACGAATTGAAAATTTCAAATACCAACATTGTTTTTATTAGACTTCTGAACTGAATGTTTTAAGTACGAAAATATTCTGCTGTGCGGTCCGCAACTTATCCTGGTGTTATTTTATGCATAAAAGCTAATAAAAATAATTACAAGCGCAAAAACTATATTTGGCTGTGTCGGTAAAAAAAGATGGCTGAAGGATTCCCTTAATCTTGGAGAGAAATTTGTCACACGGAGAAAATTTTCTTTTCAAATTTGTTCTGAAAAGTTTGTAATCGTGGGACAACACGGTATTTCAAAGAATTTTACGAGTTTTTTATTTTATTTTACCATACATTTCACTAGTAATTATACTTATTGTTGTTTTTTTAAATTAAAACTTGTGTTAAAATGTCAAGTCAATCAGTTCATTAGTTTAAGAGATCATCGAGGACAAACAAACAAACTGACAAACCTTTTCTTTTTATAATATTAGTATAGATTAGGTATATTCTATCTGCTGGTTTGTGTGTGTGTGTGTGTGTGTGTGTGTGTGTGTGTGTGAAAACGAACAGCGGGAAGCAGGAAGGAAGAAAGGCAGGATACGAACGAGATACGGTTGATTATATTCCAGGTGTAGGTTCCGCATCGAAGCTGCGCGATTTCGACGACTGGCAGGATCAGCGACTGTCGACGACCGACGACGATCTGATCTCACCGTACTCGGACTCGTCCACGAACGATCTGGATCAGATACGGCCACAGGAGCTTACGAAAAACGGCACCTACGTTATACGGCGCGGTCGCAAGAAGGAGCGCAAAGTTCTACCGAAAACACCGACCAAGACCAAGAGTCTGTCCTTTGAGAACGGGAGCGAGGAAGGGAGCCGATTGTCGGACGTGAAACGATACTCGAGTACCTTCGACAACATCAAGAGCCTGCTGAAGGAGGGCAAGTTGGAGGGCCTGGACGAGCCACCGGCGGAATTCGCGCTGCCAGTGCCACCGCCGGATCTCATCCGGGTCGTGTCAATGCCGGCGATCAACAACGACGCCGGCAGTCGGGCCCAGCTGGAGATTACCGTGGAGGAGGAGGAGGCGTCTGACATCTCGGACAAGGACAAGGAGCGCGACAACCTCGACCTACCTCGGCTACCACCTTCGCCGATCGAAGACGAAATTGGTTACCGCCTGGACCGATCGAGAAACTGCAACGGTATCCCGACGGCGCCTAACTTGGCGGATCTAGATGTCGGCAGGTCGTCGGTGAATAGCGCGCTCGCCGAGGTGACGACGAAGAAGAAACTCGCGTGCGCTGTGAGCGACGAGCGACTGGCCTCTAAGATCCCGGTGAACCTGCTGATAGAGGATCAGATCGTGAAGAAGGCGCTCAAGGAGAATCGTCGGCAGCTGGAGAAGGTGAGCGACGCGATTAAGGAGATCGAGAACGTGAAGAACAGCGAGTCTTACTGCGAGAGTAAACGCTGGCGAAACGGCGACCTGAAGCAGAGCTCGAAACGAAATAGCTTCGAGAGCGATTTCCCGCCGGTCCACGACGGTCGGAAACCCGTGACGATTGACGGCAGTCCTTACGACGGCAGGTCGCGCAGCAGGCAGCAGCAACAGCAATACAGCTCCGACTCCGAAACGTCCAAGGCCAGCTCAGACGCGGACTTCGCGGACCGGAGGAAACTCAACGGCGCCAGCGACGTCGTCTACTCGTCCGGCAGGCGGCTACGCCAGAATGGTATCGAGAACCACAAGAACGATCAGAAGCAGATCGAGAACGTGATCGACGCTATTCTGGAGGACTCGAAGAATCCGGAATTCCAGGTAGGAGCGTGCTCGGTCCCTAATAATAAATAGAGATAGGCACTAACAATAATAAGACGTGCCGTGTAACAAGGTAACAGCTTTTGAGCGAGAAAAATAATGGGCGAGGAATAGACTAGGACTCGAGAACCTGGGACCTTCCTTGCCAGGCGACTGCTCTTCCTACTGAGCTTTTCTCATACCGAGGCCCATACTCAATGCTCTTCTCGCTTACCTACTCTGTTTTATCCATCGACCTTAATAGAATGGACTGAGCGTGGCGCGGAACAAACCGATACATGCTAGAGAGAGAGAGAGAACACAGTGGGCCTATGTTTGTCTCTCTTGCTAGCCTCCCATTTGTAGTTGTTGGTAGTAGAAGAACAAAAAATACCAATGAGATGCTAGCGAGAGAGACAGACATAGGTACGTTTCTCTCTTTCTCTATAGCACGTGCCGGCAACGCTCAGTTCATTCTACAGGGTGTCCCGTAGTGTTTTATCAAAATTATATTGGGAAGGTAGAACCGATTGAAATGAACAAAAAAGTCCCATACCATATTGCAATATTTGCAATAGTAACTTAGATATTGAATATTGAAGTCGGGCAAATAAAAGCGCGCCGAGACGGCACAGGCAAAGTTCCTAATCCGCTCGAGCCATAGCATCGCCCACTGTTTCTAGCATTGGCTGGCGGCGCGCTATCCTTCCTCTGTGAAGAATAGTGAGGACAGGGGAAGAGCGCGCCGCCAATCAATGCTAGAAACAGTGGGTCGTGCCATAGTTCGAGCGGGATAGGAACTTTCCCTGTGCCGTCTCGGCGCACTTTTATTTTCCCGACTTCAATATTCAATATCTGAGTTATTATTGCAAATATTGCAATATGGTATGGGACTTTTGTTTATTTCAATCCATTTTACCGCCCCAAGATAATTTTGATAGAACACTACGGGACACCCTGTATATGTCGGTGATTTTACCAAATAACGTAGGAATACGCTAGCAGCGCGACTTCAGAGGGATACTTACAATTAGTATCTTACTCGATGGTTCGGTAGACTATCGTAACGAAGCAGAAATAGAGAGTCCCGCTTCCGCAGTAAGGGATACCGCGGTGCATCTGCGATGTCGTGAAAAATGCAAGGAAGGAGATACACGGCCGTGGTGGGCGCGCGCCGCGATGGTGAAAAGGCGCCGAGCAGCTGAGACCGGAGCGGGCCGGCCGCCCCGTCTATAAATTGGTAGTATTACCTCTATAATATAGGATTCCATTAGTGATGCCGCGCTACGACCGCATTTTTCGTCGTGAAATGTGGTGATACTGAGGTAACCACCGCGCGTGCGGCCCGCTTCCCGCACGCAGATCCGTCTTTACTGATTCCCGCGTAATTAACTCCAGCGAGAGAGTTTAATTTTTGATCGCGTAACGTGTAACATCCGATGTTGGATCTATTAATATCTTTGACCTGTACTCAGTTCTTGTCCGAAACGTTTTAAGTAATTACCTGACATTTTAATCTTTCTAAAGTCAGTGAGTCGGCTACGATAAGGGGATCCTAAAGTGACCTAAAGTCGCTGGTGAACTCGATCAGTGTCGATAAGATAGGAATTATTTATCGACATTTTTAATTCCAAGTTCTACTTTAGAGGTCACCTCAGACCGGTATTTTCGTCAGCAGTAAAGAAAAAGTTGGAGGGCCGAGAATTCGGTCCAAAAATTTATAGCTAGTCAATTTGCAATTTTTACAAAAAAGCTGAAATTTTATTAACTACACATTGCTCAGACCGAGATTTTGGTATCCAAAAGATATTTTGGTTCAAATTCTAGCATCGTCAATACCATGGCTTTACTGATAAGCTTGCAACTATTTCTACACGCCATACTGCTCTTTTTCTCTTCTTCTGGACTTGCATTTATTAGAAGTAAAACTTTTTTCTACATTATTTAATCTTAGTTCTAATTGCACGATATTGTTCTTATATGTTGTCCCTAGAATATGCTAGTCTCATTTTGTATATATGTATATGTATTTATTATAGAATTCTCTATCAAGCAAATATTGTCGTCAAGTGTACCAAAAATTAGTACAATTTTTAATTTTTTTCGTTTTTTATATAAAATCGACCAACATAGTTTAGATTTTGCTGCGTACTTTAATTCCGTAAAAGAGTTTAGCATTTCTATAAAACCAATTGAAAGATTGCTTCTAACAAAGAATATCGATAAAACAGACGGCTTTAGGATCCTCCACGTCCGCATTTTGATTTAAAAAGTGGCAAACAGCCGATCTGTAGAAAGCACCTCTCGAATACAGAGCTGTGAATTACCTCCTGTTGATCCATTTCTTCGGTAAAAAAATTTCACAGGCTCTGTTGAATAGCCATTGAAGTAAATGGCCATTTATACGTGTATCTCGACGAGGGTTCTTCATCGGTTAACAGGTTTTGAGCCGAGCTAGTTTTTATTGAAAATTTACATCCACCAACTCTTTAGAGAGTGAAGCTGCCTGTGTCGACTTGAAATTAAATCTCGACTACGCATATCTCGCAATATTGTTCGTCAAGTCATATACAGGACGTTATGAAAAAGAGGTTCAATACTTACAGAGTAGATAGCAGTGCTCACTAGATCGAGTGAAAAATGCTGAACGAATATCGCTCGAAAAATCAATTCTGCCAGAGATAGAAGCGATTTTCGGGGTTGCTAGAGCAAGCGATTTGCTTGTCCCTATTAAGTGATGTGAAAACAACGGATTATCTTACACATTTTGATGCTTACAAAAGCTGTGCGAGATTAAATTTTCAATTTGGAAACATTCCGCATGGAGACATTACGCGGCTAAGTATTTGGTTATTGACACGATAATCTGTCACGCAAAATGTATAATCGATTGCTCACATTATTGTCTTAAAATTCACAATTTTATATGATTTCATTTATTACTAAACATACTCTCGTGATTATAACTTAACATAAAATTATAATGTACGGTTAAAGTTGTTCGTAAAACATTAAGAAGAGAGAAACGTGAACTGAGACAAATATTATTCAAAATTAGAGCAATATGGTAGCCATTTTAGACATAAGGTTTTCCATGGAGAGTTTAATTTGGAAACAACTGTGTTACCAAATAAAAAACGATATACCAATCATCATTCCTACCACATGTCGAACACTTAATAGAAAGCAATAATACTGTTCAACAAAAGAGGACTTTTCAAGCGCAAGAACGAGGATAATTGTTCTCTGTCGTCGTCGTTTTTGTTTTGCGCGCAAAATACGATTTTATTTTTTGTTTTAATAAAACATCACTGTGAAGTTTGCAGTCTAGATTAATGGCTAAGGTGCTTAGATTGACTTCACGCTTATTTCTCTTTTCGAAGACAGAATAAAATCCACGCGTTCCATAATTACTTCGTAAGTACGAGTTTCCGTGTGGAACGAATCTATTCGAGTGAAACTAACAAGATGTCCCTCTTGATCTCGGACTGCCTTCGAGGTCCTCTCCACTTCTCAACTGCAGTTCGCTGTACCTTGGCAGGTGAGCGTCGACGTGATGGAGTTCCCGCCGTTGCCGCCCTCGCCCGTTGAGGAAGCTGACGAGGAGAGCTGCTCGGACGTTGGCCAGAGCGCCGCGATGACGCCACCGAAGTCCAAGAGTCACAGCAGCAGCCGGACCGTGGAGTACAGGCCGAGGGTGCCACCCCATCGTGTTCCGCCGGTCATCGACCCGAAAGAGCAGGCTTCCTTGAACACCAGGTCCATGGATGCCGGCTTTGCCAGGGGAAGACGCACACCGACCACCAGTAATTCCAGGCGAGAGGTGAGTTTGCGTGAAATATTCAACCGTGGACGTAACGTAGACCTTTGGTCTCCCGACGGGAATTAACAGTCGTGCTTTTCTTACTTCGTCTCGCATACGTCTCGTATAAGAATTTGTACGCGGCGAAATAACATACAGTAATACTGTGTGTGCCCTTCAGATATTTTTTATTTTACAGTTCGGATAACTTGTTTTTATTTGATTGTTTAGTCGCTTTTGTTATTTTGGATGTTATTGACGATTCGCTACTTTTTCTTGAATATTGCGAATCGGATATGTGCAAACACACCCTATTTGTTTTTAATCTTCAAAGAAAAAAGTCAAATCAGGGGATTCTGGTGGCCAATGTATTCTCGTAGCCACCAATCCATTTATTAAGATATTTTTTACTTGAATATCTTATTGCGATTGAGAAATTACGTTCTGCATCTCTTTGCTGGAAGTACTTTATCTGTACCGGCGGATAAAAGGATGTTGGAGTCACGTGAAAGAAATAATACGAGTAAGTCAAATTCTAAAAAGTATCGGCTGTCCATTTTAGCCAAGTTAATGCGCAAAGGAATAAGATCCAATTATTCAGTTTAGAAAAACGTACCCCACACAGCATCGAAATATTTCAGAAAGCTCTCAAAAAGCTGTCAATGAAATATGAAACCTTTCAAAAAAATATTTCAGGCATATTTCAGACATGTTTCAGATACATGAAATGTCCGCGAAGCTGAGATATCATAAATGTTTCTGAAATATTTCTGAAATGCTTCAGAAATATCTCTTAAATGCTTCGGAAATATTTCTGAAATGCGTCGGAAATATTTTTGAAATTCTTCAGAAATACTTCAGAAATGCTTTGGAAATATTTCTGAAATGCGTCGGAAATATTTCTGAAAC